ACTTCATTGAAGTTCAAGCATTCAATAGACTCGTGGATGGTAAGGATACTTCATTGATGGTTCAACATTCAATAGCCTCGTGGGTAGCAAGGATATTTCATAGAAGTTCCAACATTCAATAGCCTCGTGGATGGTAAGGATATTTTATTAAAGTTCCAATATCCAGTAGCCTCGTGGGCGTCAAAAATACTTCATTGAAACAAAGTTGTACGCAAATTTATAAAGAATGTGAGGTGCCTCATTAAAACCCCTTTCCCACATGGGGGAAAAAGTGTCACCCCATTACTACAAGAAAGCCATGTCTTTAACATAACTTACACAATTGGCAGAGGTGACATCTCGCCATAATTAACCAAGTTGATAACATGATTGAATGCAACACAACATTAAACATATAAAAAAACTCAGAGTTCACCTTGGCCTTCATACCTATACTCTTATGATCTTCTAGAATAGTGCGGTCAACTCTACTTCTTCAAGAGGTGTCATCTCCTCCCTATAAAGTTATGTTCATGAACTCACATCCACTGTATTCACTTTCTGTGCATCTGGTTGCTAGATGTGTGCCATGACCATAGTCACCCTCTTCAGTCTCAAGATGTCATAATAATACCTTTGGAAGGTCTCCGATCACCTTGGCAAACCCAACACACCCATTGGGCAGCGGTAGGGCTGACAATGAACCGAACCAACTCGAAAATAGTTCGGAATTCGGTTCGACAATTAAATTGTTGAACTAGGTTCATGAACCAAATGAGTTGAATATGAGCGAAAAATTAAGTTCGTTAACTAAATGAGCTGAACTTGAACTATACATAGTTCGACTCGTTAGGTTCATGAGTCAACTCGATTACATATGAGAAGAATTATATTATCTTTAAGATTAGGTTTAAATATTTCCTCCAAATCTTAGACAAATTTAATCTTCAATTTAGTAGTTTTTGAATTAGACCCTCAAATGTATCTTTGAAAGTTGTATAGGTTTTGAATTAGTAGATTTCAAGGATAAAGTTAAATTTCAATATGATAACTGTTATTTTATTTTAATATTTTATTTTTTAAAAAATATTAAATATACAAAAAAAAATTAAAAAATAGCTTTTAAGTCCGTAAACCATGTGAACTGAACCTAATGAGATGAACCTAACGAGTTGAACCGAACTGTTCGTGAACTTATAACGAGTCGAGTTTGAACTTAAAAAAAAGTTCGTGTCTAACTCGAACCGAGATATGAGCTGAACCAATTCTTAATGAGTCGAGCCGAGCTAAGGTGAGTTCGACTCCACTCGACTCGTTTCCAGCCCTAGGCAGCGGGTACTTCATACACAGGTATAAAGTAGACATAATGGCTCCTAATAGGATTAAAGCATATTGCCCTATGATCATAAGAGGCGTCTATCATGAGGTATCTTTCCTTGATCATATTTGTGATTTCCTCTGTTTCGAACATGGTTTTCAAGGTGATGTAGCCCTTTAATTTTACTTGTTCGCAAGAGAATTCAACTAGAGAGCCTTAGAAAGTTTTGAGGTCGTCCAGATCTAGGCGAAGTCTCTCAAAGGCATCCCAATAGATGATATATGCAGAACTTCCTTGGTCAATCAACACTCACTTAATTTCCCACTCATCACACCTCACAGTGATGACCATGAGGTTTTTGTCATGTGGATGAATTCCAACATTATCTTTTTCTAAGAAGGTGATCTCAGACTCCATAGTTTCTTTTGCGCATAGATCAAGTTGGAAAGTGGACCTTTTACGGTCATGACTTGGCGCGCATATCTCCTAGAAGCAAAGTTAGTCTCTCCGCCCCAAGCGAACCCTCCTGCTATATTGTTGATGGTTAGATGTATGAGTTTTTCTTCATCACCTCTACCAATAAAAGGTCCCTCAACCATTCAGCTTCTTCACCAGCGGAAGCAACAACCTCAAACTCTGATTTTATGGTTGAGAGAGTGATCCATATTTTTTTCTTTCTCTTCCAATAAATTTCACCCCGAGGTAGATTCACCCAAATGCAGATTTATGATATCCAACTCGCATCAGTATATCCTTCTAATATGGCAGGAAATCTACCATAATGGAGACCAACATTTTTGTTTTTCATAAGATATCCGAAAATCCTAATGATGGCCTTTTAGTACTCATCATTTGGATTGCTAGTAAATTCTACTCATTTTACTGATTGCAAATGCTATGCCGGATCTAGTACATTGCCTTCACTTGCATATTCCAATCGAGCCACAACTCTTACATCATTCTTTTGAAGTTTAACATTAGGATCAAATGGAGTGGTCACTTCTTGAAAGTGTAAGTGTTTGAACTTATCAAAAATTTCCTCAATATAATGTGTTTGACTAAGTACATAACACCCACTATTTCACTTTACTTTGACCCAAAATTGTGTCAACTAGTTTAAGATCTTTCATCTTGATATGTGAAAGTTAGAAACTTCTTCGTTTCTAAAATTCCATTCATCTTTTTGCTAATGATCAATCATATAATCAATATGGAGACAAATTAATATCACAATATTCTCACACAACATTGTTTACAAACACTTGTAACAAGAATTAGATAGATAAGATTTTTTAGACAATCATGCATGATAATGCAAGAAGGTTTTTAGATGAAGTGAGAGATGAAATTATGAGCAATTTAAAGTAGTATAATATAAATTTCAATGAGAACCTTAAGTATGCTCACTTGTCTCAAATCTTTTCTTGAATTTCTATGTTAAACCATCTCTATCGACTTCATCATTGGTGTGTATGATACTTTTGATCATTTTCTTCTTTGATAATCTTTATCTTCATCAAAATTGAACTAGATATAAGATGTATTCCTCCCAATACCTTCCTTTTGATGATGACATGATATTTGAATTTCTATTTTGATAATGATTGAAAATTTTCCCCTAAGTTATATGTCTCCTAATTAATTAGTGAATCTTACAATGACAAGTGCAAACTTTTGATGTAATTGTTTCGGTGTTTGTTTTAATTCGTCCAAGAATTTGACAAGCTTCAATACATTTTATTTATCATCAGAAAGCGCACAACCTTATGGTTGCTCCATGTATATCTCCTCGTCGAGATCTCCATATTGAAATTTCGTTTTGACATCCATTTGATGAACTATAAGTTCATGCAAAGAAGTTAATTCAAACAATACTCTAATTCACGTTGCTCTTGCTACTAGTGCATATGTGTCAAAATAATCAACATCTTTCTTATGTCTAAAAATATTTTGGTTTGACATTATAGAATTCAATTTGTCTTGGATAATGCTCTTCCAAAAAGAGAAGTGTTTTGAAGCTAATCCTTTCTTTTAAATCTTAGAATCATCTTCCACTTGAAAAATAATAGGAATTTCCATACAAAATTCTCACCATCTCCTTCCACAAGATAAAGGAAATAAGTTGAGAGCTATTTTTATCCGGTCTTAAATCCTTAGTCTTTCAAATTCTAGTCTTTCTTACCTTTCGTGATAAAGTTCTCAAAATTTCACATCTCAAGATTCAATAGTTACATTAAACTCTAAATTTATAAATCTATATAAATTCTGATTCATTTTATATGTTATGTAATAATAAATTTAATCAAATATAAACAATTCACATAGTATATAGATCATATTTCAATTGCATAATTTAAAATTATAAACTTTAATTTATTTAACTACTTTGATAACTAACACCATGTATAAGTTGAATGGCTTTTGTATATAACTCCATGGTTTTAGTTGTATATTGACATATACTTTTAATTACGACCTTAAATTACCCGCATACAATAACTTTATAAAAGACAAATGATTCATTCGAGAATTATATATATATATATATATATATATATATATATATATATATATATATATATATATATATATATATATATATATATATATATATATATATATATATATATATATATATATATATATATATATATATATATATATATATATATATATATATATATATATATATATATATATATATATATATATATATATATATATATATATATATATATATATAAAATAGTTTTAATATCCTATATTTATTTCACTTACATGAAATTCGTATTAAATATCACAAAACAAATATATGTATCAATAACACGCTCGTATTAGTTTCATATCGGAAAATCATAGCATCGATAATATATTTTGATATTAGTTTTTAATTTAAATTTTATATTGAATTAGTTTTATAAATTTTTATGAGATGCAATAAAACGTACTCGAATTCATAATATTGATTCCTGTGTTTTTGTCTTGAGTTCCTCTTTTTCATATTTGAAACCGAAGCCTTGGTAACTATTATTGGAAATACTATTAGATTTTTATAAAAATTAGTTGTAAATTAAATGGATCAAGACTAAAATTGTAATCAAATCACTTTCTTTATAGTATTTCAAACACTCTCAAATTGTTTTAGAGTTTTTATGCCGGAATACGCAGGATAATTCAGTTTTCTTAAATTTACACAAGACAGATGAAAATTCAAATGTAACTATGAGTGTCTAGAATTCATTCTAGAGAATATATGTTTTTGTTATGATTTTTCTGAATTCGGAATGCTCAATTTATAAGTCAAACTGATTATATTTCTTAAGGTTGCGACCTTGTATCAAAAAAACACTTTCAACAACATTTTTATTAAATATTATATTATTTTGTCTACAACAGTATTTTTCAAATATTGTATTATTTCACTTATAACAACAATTTTCAAAGACTATATTATTTCATATTCTAGAATATTTTAAAGTATTGTCTATTTCCGAATTTAAAATGCAATCGGTCTACTAAAATACTTCTTAAATTGTTACTTATTTGTCATTTTAAAACAACTCAAAATTATTAACTCTTAATGGTTTACGCGTCAATAGCATGAATAAAACAACTCCACATATTATAAAGAGGCATGGATCAAAACAAATTGAAATATACAGAGATTATACAAATAAGCATTCTTAGTTCATTCACAACAACCATGGCAAAATCTTCATCATTCTCCATAACATTTCTCATTTCCTTGAATCTTACTTTTCTCTCTATAGTATCATTTGCCACTGCCACTAAATACTACCAAAGCCTATCCCCAACAATGTTAGCTTTTCAAGAAGAGAAATTCACCCACCTTCACTTTTACTTTCACGACATCGTCTCTGGCCCAAAACCAAGCATGGTATTTGTAGCCGAACCTAATGGAAAGGTAGAAAATGCCCTTCCATTCGGAACAGTCGTGGCGATGGACGATCCGTTAACGGCCGGACCCGAACGTGACTCAAAACTTGTAGGCAAGGCACAAGGAATTTATACTTCTATATCACAAGAAGAGATGGGATTAATGATGGTGATGACTATGGCGTTTTCAGATGGGGACTTTAATGGAAGCACCCTTAGCATATTGGGAAGGAACATGATCGTGAGTGAAGCTGTTAGAGAAATGGCCATTGTTGGTGGGACTGGAGCTTTTCGATTTGTACGTGGATATGCTCAGGCTAAGTTTTTTTCTGTTGATTTTACCACAGGAGATGCTACTGTGGAATATGATATATTTGTGTTCCATTATTAATCATATACAAAAATATTATTCGACAAAAAAATGGTGTATGACAAAATACGTTCGATGGTAACAAGAAATTTCATGCATCAAAGAAACCGCACAAGAGTGTTGAAACATTAGAAGACAATTGTTAGTGATGTACAAGACACGAGACAGCTATGATTTGATGTTAAACAAAAATGGATGTGTCTTATATTTGTGTTTTAGGCATAATGTTATTTGAAGATATAATTGAGTTATTTTTGTTTATTAAACTTTTGTTTTGTGGTGATTAAGCAATAATGTAAACTTATGCCATGGTTTATTAAACAATGAAACAATGCCTTGTTCTTTTATTGAGCTGTTAAACATCACTTTTAGCTTATGGTTTTGATGGTTAAGTTTTGTTCAATTATGCTTAATTATATTAGGTGATTGAACATAATATTCTTCTATGAGATGGTTAAGTATTAAGTTGACATTTCATTGTTTGTCTTATTTATCACTAAAAAAAAACTCTACGTTGTGATATTCACGTCACAACGTGAAAAATAATGTCACAATAGATTTTTAGTGAAGTGATCTTTTCTGTAAAAGAAGCACATGTGACAACTCTGTTACTACATGAAAATTACGTCGCAATTTTACTATGAAAAAATCATGTCACAATTTTACTATGAAAAAAATCACGTCGCAACAATCTAAGAATAAGAAGGTTGCCACTTGATTTTCATGTGACAAGTTGCGATGTGATATTCATGTGGCTAATTGCGACGTAAAAATCACTTTGCAAAATATTTTTTTTAAATAAAAAACTATAGTTGTTTTACGTTTTAGTAAATTGTTAATAAATTATTTTTTAATAATATATTAAAATAAATAATAAAATTAATAAATATATAAATAAATAAATAATAATTTTTTTAATAATATATTAAAATGAATAGTTAATAAATACCAAAATTAATAAATATAATTAATACGAAAATTAATAAATATAAATAAATATCAAAATTAATAATAAAGTTTTTAAATAATAAGTTTATAATATACTAAAATGAATAATTAATATTTTACAAAAATTAAAATTTAAAATTAAAATAAATCCTACAAATCAATCTGTATCGGCAAACTCGTCAAGTCAAAAGCTTTGTCATCTATCTGTTATTGATCACCAACTCCTTCATTTCTACCAAACGCTTGATTACAGCCACCTTATGATTGCATAAATTTCCACATATTTCCTCCATAGCAGCTTGCCTCTTCTTCATTGTCTCTATTTGACATTGTTTCTCCTCCATTTAGGTATTTAGCGTCGCCTCAGTTAGCGCCAGTTATCTTATTGTTTCTAGCATTCACAACTAGAAAAAATACTTTTGGAAAAAATGATTTTACATCGGGTATTCACTCGAAGCAATGTAAAATGTGAAATTATAAACATGGTGGCAGTATCGTAAATAATAAAAAAACAAATATTAGATCTTTTACATCAGGCCAATTAATCCACCGATGTAAAAAATTGAAAAAAAAATTATTAAAAGGGTTTTTAAATCGGGTATCGTTCCAACCGATTTAAAAAACAATATTAAAAAATTAAAAAATGGGATTTTAAATCGGATTTGTTTCCACTGATTTAAAAAGTTAATAAAAACATGGATTTTAAATCGGTTTTAAAATTCACCGATTTAAAAAGCCCCCCAAAAGTAAAAATAAAAAACATGGATTTTAAATCGGTTTTAAAATCCAACCGATTTAAAAAGTAAATTAAAACATGGATTTTAAATCGGGTTTATTTCCACCGATTTAAAAAGTTAATTAAAACATGGATTTTAAATCGTTTTTAAATTCCACCGATTTAAAAACCCTCAAATATGGTTTCTTCACCAAAACCTGCACATTTCAAACCCACGACAAACCTCATTTCCCCCTCTCGCCCGCGACGTCCGTTCGTCGTTCCTCCCTCCCCTCCGACCCACGTCGTCCTCCCTACGACAGCACCGTCCTGCCTCCGCCCCACCCACAACCCACGGTCGTTCCTCCCTCTGGCCGTGCGTGCGCCGTATGAAGCATCGTTTCATGGTTGATGTTAATACCCTCTGATTTTCTCATTCTTCCTTTTTTTCACGTGCATGTTTTGGAGTGATGTTTAATCATGGTAGGAACTCGGCGTACTTGGAGAGATGAAAGCCCGAGGGTTATCAACATAAGGTCTAGACTTTAGTCCCTTTTGCTTTTTACGTAGGAAATAGGGAGAGTACCGTGTAACTCTGTTGTTCTTCATTGACTCAAATTTATGCCCTGCTGTGCATTTTGACTTTGCATATGCCATGAATGAATTTGCTCTTAATTCTAATGCTTGATCTATGAATCCACATCAGCATGTTTGTTGAGTTTCAGTTTGCTTTGTAATTACAATAACACTACATTGCAATTAGGAATAACTTTGGTAACCAAATTGAAATCTGCTGATTACTAAGTCGCAGATGAGAAAGTTCTTGACTCATGAATTAGGCTGTTATGAGATTAGTGTGATTGAAATTAAAACATTATGCAGGCTATGCTCTGGAGCCATTACTTGACTTGAATGTGTTGTGAGTTAAAGGCTAAGGTAGTGAATTGATTTGAACTCATTTTGAACAGGTCATGGTAGCACGTTGCAAAGCTTTGAACTCCAATTGCTTCAGTTTATTGATATTTCGTTTCTCGCAGAATTTGTGTCCCTCTTTTTCTCTTAACCGCGAGTCATCCGGCCACCACGACATTGCAGGTTCTCTTTTCATTCTTTATAACTTCTCAATTCTTCTTTTATGCCATGTGTTTACACGTAGAGGCTTTTGTTCTCTCTAATGTCCAAAAGAGGGACTATTATAGGCGTCCCAATGATTTAACTTTGTATGCATTAATAATTTCGGAACATAGGTATGAACCGTAGTTGGATGAGAGCCAATCGATTAAGTTTCGAGTACGAACATGGAGTGATGGAATTTCTAGAGCGTGCTGAAAGTAATGCTAAAAAAAACTTGCTCCTCCTAAGAGTGATGCTGAAAAAAGTCTTCATCTGCTTTTTCTATGTCCATGTGTTCGTTGTGCAAATCACAAACCAAAACTCAATAAGAAAGAAATCATGGATCATCTAATTTGTCATGGGATTTGTCAAAGTTATACACAATGGATATGGCACGGTGAGGTAGTAGCAAAGTCAAATGTGTCCCAAAGAGATAATGTTAGTGCAGAAATGGATGATCGTCTAGAAGACATGATGCGTGATATTGGACAAGATTCGTTTAAGAAGGCGCATGCGTATGATACTTTATGCAGTGAAAAGGATAAACCTTTGTACCCGGGATGCACAAATGTTACATGTTTGTCAGCCGTGTTAAAATTGTTTAATTTGAAGGCAAATAATGGGTGGACTGACAAAAGTTTTACCGAATTGCTTGAATTGTTGACATAGATGCTTCCAGAAGGTAACGTAATGCCAAATTGTTATTACGAGGCGAAAAAGATATTGTGTATGATGGGTTTGGAGTATGAAAAGATACATGCATCCCTACATATTATACAGAAAAGATTATGTAAACTATAATCATTGTCCGAAGTGCAAGGCGTCACGCTACAAAAAGAAAGTTGGTGATTCTAGTGATGATGAGGCGGTAAAAAAGGTTCCTCCGCGAAAGTGGTATGGTACCTACCAATAATTTCAAGGTTCAAGAGACTATTTGTTAATGTAAATGACGCAAAGAATCTTAGATGGCATGCAGAAGAAAGAAAGTGTGATGGAAAAATTCGCCATGTAGCTGATTCTTTACAATGGAAGAAAATAGATGCTTTGTTTCCAAATTTTGACAAAGAGTCGAGAAACCTTAGACTTGGACTTTCAACTGATGGAATGAATTCATTTGGTAATCTAAGTACTAACCATACTTGTTGGCATGTTCTCCTTATGATCTACAACCTATCTCCTAGGTTGTGCATGAAGCATAAATATATTATGTTATCGATGATGATTTCAGGCCCAAAACAACCCGGATATGACATAGATGTTTATCTAAGTCCTCTGGTTGATAATTTAAAAGTGTTGTGGGAGGAAGGGTGGATGTTTTTGATGCGTATTCTGGTGAACAGTTCAATATGCGTGCCATGTTGTTTTGCACCATCAACGATTTTCTGACATATGGCAATTTGTCTGGTTATAAAGTTAAAGGGCATAGAGCATGTCCTATATGTGAAAAAGACACATGTTACCATCAACTTGTAAAAGGAAAGAAGACTGTTTATCTCAGGCATCGAAAATTCTAGATCGTTATCATCCACATCGTAGATTACGGAAAGCTTTCAATGGGGAACAAGAGCATGGTGTTGCTCCAAAGCCCTTAACTGGAGAGGAAGTTTATCACCGACAACAGGGCATTAGTGTCGTCTTTAGAAAGTACCAAAATCAATCTACTGTGAAAAATATATGGAAAAAGAGGTCGGTTTTCTTCAATTTTCCATATTGGTCTAGTCTTGATGTAAGACATTGTATTGATGTGATGCACATGGACAAAAAATTTTGTGATAGTTTAATCGGAACACTTCTCAACATTCAAGGAAAGACAAAAGATGGTTATAGTGCTCGTTTGGATTTGGGTTTGATGGGTATACGAGAAGAGTTAACTCCACAACATATAGGTAACAAGATATATTTTCCTCCTGCCTACTACACTCTGTCTAAAAAAGAGAAATAAGTTTATGTGAGTGTTTACAAAGTATTAAAGTGCCGCATGGCTACTCATCAAATTTCAATAGGCTTGTCTCAGGTAAAGATCTCAAATTAATTGGATTAAAATCTCATGATTATCATGTCTTAATGCAACAGCTACTACCAATGGCTATTCGTGGGATATTGCTTAACAATGTTAGGAAGACTATAACTAGGTTGTGCTTATTTTTCAATGCAATTTGTTGTAAAGACATTGATCCATTAAAGCTAGACAATTTGGAAAATGAGGCTGCAGTTATCTTATGCTAATTAGAGATGTATTTTCCTC